ATCTTCTTTAACGAATAAAGGTCACTTGATCTCGGCTTAATATTAATCATTTTAAACCAACTTTGACTAATTGTGTTCTGGCGAATGAATACTTCGTGGAAAAAGCGGAAAATCTTGATAGAATAATTCTACAATATTATTTGTATCTCCGTTCTGGTTTTATCTTATTTTACGAATACAGGTCATTTGAACTCGGCTAAATATTAATCTTTTTTAACCTACTTTGACAAATTGTGTTCTGGCGTATGAAAACGTCGTGGAAAAGGTAGAAAATATTGGAAGAATAATTCTACAATATTATTTGTATCTCCGTTCCGGTTTCATCTTCTTTAACGAATAAAGGTCACTTGATCTCGGCTTAATATTAATCATTTTAAACCAACTTTGACTAATTGTGTTCTGGCGAATGAATACTTCGTGGAAAAGGTGGAAAATCTTGATAAAATAATTCTACAATCTTATTTGTATCTCCGTTCCGGTTTTATCTTATTTAACGAATAAAGGTTACTTGAACTCTTCTAAATATTCATCATTTTTAACGAACTTTGACAAATTGTGTTCTGGCGTCTAAAAACTTCGTGGAAAAGGTAGCAAACCTTGATAGAATAATTCTGAAAATATACTTGTAACTCTGTTCTGGTTTAATAATATTTAACTAATAAAGGTCACGTGAACTCAGCTAAATATTAATCTTTTTTAACCAACTTTGACCAATTGTGTTCTGGCGGCTAAAAACTTTGTGGAAAAGGTGGAAAATCTTGATAGAATAATTCTACAATATTATTTGTATCTCCGTTCCGGTTTCATCTTCTTTAACGAATAAAGGTCACTTGATCTCGGCTTAATATTAATCATTTTAAACCAACTTTGACTAATTGTGTTCTGGCGAATGAATACTTCGTGGAAAAAGCGGAAAATCTTGATAGAATAATTCTACAATATTATTTGTATCTCCGTTCTGGTTTTATCTTATTTTACGAATAAAGGTCATTTGAACTCGGCTTAATATTAATCTTTTTAAACCAACTTTGACCAATTGTGTTCTGGCGGATGAAAACTTCGTTGAAAAGGAAATTTTTTGTAACTCTGTGCCGGTTTAATCTTACTTAACTAATAAATGTCACTTGAACTCGGCTTAATATTAATCATTGTAAACCAGCTTTGACCAATTTTGTTCTGGCGGATGAAAACTTTGTGGAAAAGGTGGAAAATCTTGATAGAATAATTCTACAATATTATTAGTATCTCCGTTTCTGTTTAATCTTATTTAACTAAAAAAGGTTACTTCAACTCGGCTTAATATTAATCTTTTTAAACCAACTTTGACCAATTGAGTTCTGGCGGATGAAAACTTCGTTGAAAAGGAAATTTTTTGTAACTCTGTGCCGGTTTAATCTTACTTAACTAATAAATGTCACTTGAACTCGGCTTAATATTAATCATTGTAAACCAGCTTTGACCAATTTTGTTCTGGCGGATGAAAACTTTGTGGAAAAGGTGAAAAATCTTGATAGCATAATTCTACAATATTATTTGCATCTCCGTTCCTGTTTAATCTTATTTAACTAATAAAGGTTACTTGAACTCTGCTAAATATAAATCTTTTTTAACCAACTTTGACAAATTGTGTTCTGGCGAATGAAAACTTCGTTGAAAAAGAAATTTTTTGTAACTCCGTGCCGGTTTAATCTTACTTAACTATTAAAGGTCACTTGAACTCGGCTTAATATTAATCATTGTAAACCAGCTTTGACTAATTGTGTTCTGGCGGATGAAAACCTCGTGGAAAAGGTGGAAAACCTTGATAGTATAATTCTGAAAATTTATATCTAACACTGTTCCAGTTTAATATTATTTAACTAGTAAAGGTCAGTTGAACTCGGCTAAATATTAATCTTTTTTAACCAACTTTGACAAATTGTGTTCTGGCGGATGAAAACTTCGTGGAAAATCATGATAGAATAATTCTGAAAATTTATTTGTATCTCCGTTCTGGTTTTATCTTATTTTACGAATATAGGTCACTTGAACTCGGCTAAATATTAATCTTTTTTAACCAACTTTGACAAATTGTGTTTTGACGGATGAAAACTTCGTTGAAAAGGAAATTTTTTGTAACTCTGTGCCAGTTTAATCTTACTTAACTATTAAAGGTCACTTGAATTCTGAATAATATTAATCATTGTAAACCAGCATTGACCAATTGTGTTCTGGCGGATGAAAACCTCGTGGAAAAGGTGGAAAACCTTCATAGAATAATTCTGAAAATTTATATCTAACACTGTTCCGGTTTAATATTATTTAATAAGTAAAGGTCAGTTGAACTCGGCTAAATATTAATCTTTTTTAACCAACTTTGACAAATTGTGTTCTGGCGAATAAATACTTCATGGAAAAGGTGGAAAACCTTGATAGAATAATTCTGAAAATTTTTTTGTAACTCTGTTCTGGTTTAATCTTATTTAACTAATAAAGATCACGTGAACTCGGCTAAAGATTAATCTTTTTTAACCAACTTTGACCTATTTTGTTCTGGCTGCTAAAAACTTTGTGGAAAAGGTGGAAAAGCTTAGTAGAATAATTCTACAATATTATTTGTATCTCCGTTCCGGTTTCATCTTCTTTAACGAATAAAGGTGACTTGAACTCGGCTTAATATTAATCATTTTAAACCAAGTTTGACTAATTGTGTTCTGGCGAATGAATACTTCGTGGAAAAGGTGGAAAATCTTGATAGAATAATTCCACAAAATTTATTTGTAACTTTGATCTGATTTAATCTTAATTAAGAAAAAAATTGTCAGAAAAATTATTTTCAGCCCAAAAGGAATTTTTTCGTTGGGAAAATAATTTTGTGTTACCATTTTTTTCTGTGAAAAAATTAATTGACTAATTATTGTAAAATTTAATTAATTAAATTTTTTTGAAGAAAAAAATTGTAAAAAAAATTATTTTCAGACCAAAAAGAATTTTTTCGTTGGGGATTTAATTTTTTTTACCATTTTTTTTGTAAAAAAATTAATTGACTTATTATTTTAAATTATTTTTTATGGTCTAACTCTCTAAAAATTTAATATCAATGTTGCCCATAGTTCAAAAAAATTCGCCCATCGTACGGATGTTTTATTTTTTATGGTCTAATTGTCCATTTATTATTTTTCTGAAAAAAATAAAAGTAATTTAATTCATACAAATTCTTTGTCAAAAAAGTAATTTAAATTAATTTTGTTGTTTGATAGTAAGTGCCAGCAATTTTACGGCTTTTTGCAGGTTTATTTTCATGATTTTTTTATTAATTAAATTTAAAAAACCTAAAAATGTTTTTTAATATTTATTGCTTAATTACATAATCAAGATGGAAAAATAAATTGTTATTAATTATTTCAGTTAATTAATTGTTGTTAATTATTTAAGTTAATTAGGAATTGTTATTAATTATTTACGTTATTATTTTAAAAAAATATTTAAATTAACAAACATTTTGGATGATACAAAAAAAAGATTATGAAATTAATCCACAGATTAATTCCAGAATCTTTTTTTTTTGGTTATTCAATGAAATGAGTCAATTTATTATTTTTCTGCAAAAAATTAAAAATGATGTAAGTCATACTATTTTTTTGTCAAAGAAATAATAATTATCCAAAAATTGTGTTGTTTGATAGTAAGCGCCAGTAGATGGCAACTTTTTGTAGGGGTTTTTTCATTATTTTTTTATTAATTATATTTAAAAAAAAAGATAAAAATGTTTTGTAATTTTTATCACTTAATAAAATAATTAAGAATGGAAAAATTAATTAATTAATTTATTATTAAAATTAAAATTTTAAATTAACAAAAAATTTTTTGATACAAAACAAATTTCGACAATAAAAATTGATTATGAAATCAATCCATAGATTAATTCCAAGATCAATTTTGTTTGGTTATTCAATAAAATGATTCTCAAATTTCAAACTTTTGGCAAAGTCCCATTAAAAAAAGGAAACTTTTTTTTAAAAAACTTAGTTTTTTAAAAACAAAATCCATTTTTTTAAAGGGACTTTGCCAAAAGTTTAAAATTTGAAAAATTAAAAAAAAATTTGTGAGAAATTTTGAAAAACTAGATAATTTCCGCATCCCATACTCTACCCATACTCTTCCCATACTTTTTCAAAATTTTGAAATTTGACAAAAAAACTGTTTAAAAAAATAATTTTTTTCTTTTTTTTAATGGGACTTTGTTAAAAAGATAGAAATTTCTAAAAATTAGAAAAAAATCGAATTTTTGAAAAAATAGATTATGGTTTTGTATAATTTCTTTAAAAAAATTTGACCAGGTGAAGTTGAATTTTACTTTAAATAATTATAAAAACTAGTTTTTTCAAATGAGGCGCTAAAAACACAAAATTGAAATTCAAAAAAAACACCCGACGGATTTTGATTTTTCTTGTTAGAAAATATTCGGTGAGAATTGATTGATTAGATTAAAAATAAAATTTCAAAAACAGTAAAAAGAAATAAAAAGTGAAGAAATTAAAGAAACAAATAGTAACAATTTAAAAGAATCAGAATGAAAAATAATAAATGTAAAAAATAAAAATTAATGAAATTAAAAAATTTTAAATAATAAAATGAAAATAAATAAATAAAAGTTATAAAAAAATAAACTTTATTAGTTTAATTTTAAATCTGGTATTTTAGAATTTTGTGAATTTGAATAATTTTTGTAACTCCATTGATGTTCTGTAATGATAAATATGAAGACTTGATGATTGGAATTTATTGAAGAAAAGATCTTCACAGACTACTGTCAATTCCGTAATTGACGAGAAAAATGAAAATTATACTATGAATGTCAATATGATTATACTGATTTTGTAAGATTATAAATAATGTGGTTCTAAAAATAGGATTTGTAAATATTTATTTAAAAATCCTAATAAGTTGAAATGTAAAATATAATAAAATAGACGAACTTAAACTACAAAAACATTGCTTACATTTAATTTACCGAAATTTTAAATTAATTTTTTTGCGCTTCTTATTTCAACGACATTTTTGAAGAAAGAAAATATATCTAAAAATTTCTGGTCCTTCAGCGACTTGAAGTCTTTTCTCGAAATTATGCAGTATTTGTTCCTTATTTTTTTATACAAGTTTTCTACTTCTCCGCCTGTAAAAGTAAATATTAATTTATAATAATAATCTACCTATGCATAATAATAATATACATATGTCTCTCTAACCTTTTAACCAGAAATAACTGCATTCGGTATTTTTAATGTCATTCGCAATTTCCGCGTAAGCAGTTTTAATCAATCGATTTCGGATGCTATACTTCGGAATCTCAATTTTTTTATCGTATATTATCGTTTTTTTTTTAATTTCTTCGCCAAGAAGCTTCATTAACTTTTTGTCCTCCATTTTACAGTTTTTTAAAGTTTTTATCAATCTTAGGTTAAATTATATTAATGCTACTTGAAGTTAATAACAAATTTTCAGACAAAGGCAAAAGAAGTTAAGCGCCAATTTTATATCTTTTTGCAGGGAGCGAATAAAATATTTAGATTTATTTATTTATATTTCAATAAAAACTTAATAATTTTAAAATAAAAGTAATAATAATTATTATTAAAAAAAATGATAACACCCGCGCACCCTGCTTCGCGGAGCAGTTCATTGCGGGTTTATGCGATTAAATATAAATATTTATAACAAATGGTAAGTAAGATCGATTTTAAAAAAAATATATTTATAACTATAATAGACAAAAAAATATAATAAATTTTAAAAATATCAATATATAATAAATTAAAAAATGTAATAAAATAATTTTGATACTTATTGTTCATAATATTTTTAAAATGAATTCATGATAAATTCAAAAATTAAGAGTGGCAAAGAAATAAATTAAAAAAACTATTTCCTTTGTTTTATTTTTATTTATATCATCATTTGTTCTGTTTTACAATCATACTCCAAGCTTTTTTGCTTCTCTTTTTTCACTTGGAAATTTCCTACCCTCCAAGCCATTCTGTGATAAATAAAAAATGGAGCGAAATATTTTCTCAAATTTAAGCGGTAAGTATAATACTTATTTAATTATTTGCTTAACCGGCGAAATTTAAATCTGTCGAAATTATTGTTTTTTAAGGTTATCAAATTTTTTTATGACAACATTGGGTATTTAAAATTAGAATATATTGTGAAAACTTGAAAAATAATTTTTGAACAATTTTCAAAATAAAACTCACAATTTTTCAAAAATTGAAATTTTCTCACAATTTTCATTATTTGTCATTGCCGAATATTTTATACGACTTTTTCAGGATTCTAAAAAATCAAGAGTACAGGTTTTAAAATATATAATTTTTTTAAAAACTAAAAATTTTGAAAAATTATATAAATTTGTAAAATTGTTAAACTAATACTGTTGTTTTTTTTAAATTCAACTTCTTTCACTATTTTCATTATTCTTTATTGACGAATTTCTTATATAACTATTTCATGAATGCAATCAATCGCATGAGATTTGAAAAATTTTAATTTTTTCAAAATAATAATAATAAATAGATGATTAGGTGTTTGGCTAACCAAGTTGTCGGATATTGTTATGCAGCTTATCAAAATTTTCAGAAGCAACGCGTGGAAAAATAATCGGTATGCACCAAGCAGGAAGTACAACTGCAGAAATAGCCGAGCAAATCAACTGCTCTATGAAAACCGTCCGACTATGGATAAATAAGTACACACAGGGCGGAATCCTGGCATTGGGCGACCATCGAAAATTCAATCATCCGCCAAAAAAACCACTCTAGAGCAGGATGAGGTAATCCACGAATTTTTTACGGATCATAATCCGTTTGCTTCAACGAGCCGTTTCGTAAACGCGATGAATGCGGATGTCTCGAACGACACCATTCGGAGAAAGCTTATTGAAATGGGCCTTCGGAGCAGGCGCGCAGCGTACAAGTGGGAGTTGACCGACGATCATCGCCACCAACGTCTCGCCTACGCACGCCGATTTTGTCAGGAACCCGAAGAATTTTGGAGGAATACAATCTGCGTCGATGAAAAATCGTTTTGTACCTCAGAAGATGGTCGCGTTCAGGTGTGGAGGAGCAACGCAAGCCGCCTCAAAGAAAACTGCGTTGTCAGAAAGCATAGAAGTGGCAGAATTTCTTGTAATTTTTGGGGCAGCTGCTCCGTTTACGGAGTCGGAGTTTTACGGAACGTAGGCCCCAGATTTAATTCTGCGGCCTATGTCAACTTATTAGAAAACGACTTCCTGCCCTACATCAATAGATTATTCCCCGCGGACGAATATGAGGAAGTTAAAGTTATCCAGGATAACAGCAGAATTCATACGTCCCGACAGACGATGAACTGGTTCGAGCGGCATCCACGAATAACTTTGCTTCCTCATCCTCCGCGATCACCAGACCTCAACCCGATTGAAAATTTGTGGGCAATAGTGGTGAAGAGTTGGGAATCGGGAGCTGATCGCACCTTAGAAGCCTTGATTGACCACGCCTTCAGAAGTTGGGAGGAAATAGTATACACGCCGGAAGTCGTTTCCAACTGCGTCCTGTCCATGCCGAGACGATTGCAGGCTGTAATCGAGAACGATGGTCGATGGACCAAATATTAGGTGTTTGTGTTCATTTTCATAAAAAATATATTATGCAATTGACAAAGCTATTTGTCAAACATCAATACTAACGTTGGTTTTATATTTAAATCCGTTTTTGTTCTTTTATTGTTTACCTTATAATTATTTGTTTTTGAGTGAGAATTTTTTTTTGTAATTTTATGAATTCTACTTCTCATATTTTACATTTTAATTTGTTACTGAAAGTTTATAATTAATTTCTTTTTTGTAAAATACATTAAATAAATATTCATTAAAGATCTTATATTAATTAATAGTAGACTATTAACGTTTTTCAATTCGAACACAGTCGTAATTCCAAAATTTCTCAAACTTAAAAAATGTTTAAAAAAAATAAAATATAATTAAAAAATTCAATTTAAAAAAAATTACAACACAAGAAGTGGGATATTTCTTGATAATTTATGTGACATTTTTTATATAGAAATTAATATTTGATATAAATAAATTTTATTTTAACAAGATTTTAATATGAAATTTTTAATAATTAAAAAATTGCTTTGACTTATTTTTTTCAGCTTTGTCGATGCTAATGTGACATTTTAAATTGTTCTTAAAAACAGAAAAATTTTTCTGATAACCGTTGCTTTCTATTTATTTTCTAATTTTTAGAAATTTATTTTCTTTTAATTAATTTATTTCTGAAATTAATTTCTTTAAATTTATTAGTGTTTATTAAATTATTTTTTGTATTTTTTAAATTGAGCCAAATTCATTTTCCATTCAACAATTTTCATTTCACCAAATATTTTTTATAAAATCTTTGTAGGGAGTTAATCCAGAAAAATTGACGCAATTGAAAGAAAGACCCACGCACCCTGCTTCGCGGAGCAGTTCATTGTGGGTTTTCCACAAGACATTCCATTTTACGCATCACATACTCATAGTATCCTGATATTTTCGAATTTAGAAGGGCCGTCGGTGGGACCGTTATTGCTGGAGGTGATCCTTGATGAACTGAGCTTAACGATTGACCACTCCCTGCAAAAATCCCGGAATGGACCATTTTTTAACATCAATTACTGTTCGTGTCAAAAAATAAAAAATCAAGATTGCTACAAAAATCTGATTTAGAAATTCCATGACTTTTCTAAGTTTTCCAGGATTTTTTACAGAAATTCCAAGCTATATTTTAAAATTCCATGACATTTCAAAGTTTTCCAGACCTCTTTCAAAAATCCATGACTTCCAGGTTTTCCAGGTTCTGCTGCAACCCTGTGGAATGATTTAAGTTGTAGATTAAGAAAAAGACTAATGTCAGACTCAAAAATTAATATTTATCTTAAAAATTGAATGTCTATTTGCTCATAGTTTTATCAATATAATTGCAACATCCGTGGATAAAATTGTCCCACGCTGCATTTCCATTTACCCAATCCTTTGTCATCGCTTCTCGACTCTAAATATTTTCCGGTATTGTTATTGAAAACAAACTTGATGTCTTTGAATTCGAATTTTCATTCTCTTTCTTTGACTTCTGCACTGAAAACTGGCTCTAAAAGTTTTGAATTTATATTTAATCTATATCTAAATAAAAATAAAGAATGGGTGGCGGGACACAAAAATTTAATATTTTTTTGATTCCATGAGACGTAAAAATAAATTATTCATTTATTTACTAAAAATTGAGAAAAATTTCGAACCATGTCACAAAAACTTTATTATATTTTTTAATATTTTCTATGTGTGAAAAGAATTTTTTCAAAATTATGAAAAATTTTCGAAAACTTCCAAACCATGGCACCAAAATCCAATTTTTTTTTGTATTTCCCTAAGTATAAAAGTAATTTAGTTTTTACAAAATTAAGAAATATCAAAACATAAGAAAATTATTTATTTTATTTTTCAAATATTAAATAAATACATTTTTGTTATTGTTTTTATATTTCTAACCTACATGTGGCTGAGAAATGTTACTTACCTGCAATTTTTTGAATAATTCTTTTTTTGCGGAAAATTAAATATTTAATTGTCCAAACAAATTTTATTCTTTTCATACATGGAATTATTTCGAAATAATTTAATCGTATCCAATAACTGCTAACGACATATCTAACCGTTCAAAACAAACAATGATGACCATTGATGACACCTATTATTTTGACAGCTATTTTGGCATAGATTGTGAAAGTACAAGACTAACCGCAAATATTCATTTTCTAGCAGCAACTTCAGGGGGAAGGCATTTGTACGTTTTATTATTATGTATTGTTTAGCTGCTGCATTGATGACCATTGATGACACCTATTATTTTGACAGCTATTTTGGCATAGATTGTGAAAGTACAAGACTAACCGCAAATATTCATTTTCTAGCAGCAACTTCAGGGGGAAGGCATTTGTACGTTTTATTATTATGTATTGTTTAGCTGCTGCATTAATTTTAAAAAAATTTGCAAACTGGCCGGTTTGCCCCATCCCTGAGGTAAACCAGCCAGTTTATTTTTTTTTGTTTAGAGAATTAATTGTAAGGAAAACGTCACTAAATATAAAAAATCAATAAACAATCTTCTCAATAAGGAAAATAATAAGATAGGATTAAATTTCAATTAAAGAAACATCTTATTTATTATAAAACAAATATTTTCAACTAATTGTCGTTCACGAAGAAACGTCTGTCGGTGAACTTTGTAAAACTTCGTAAATCTCCGTAATGTGGACAAAGATTCACGAAACCTTGCACGAAGTTTTCAAGCCGATAGGTAATCTTCGTGAATTTCTGTTGCAAGGGAAACAGACATAGGCCGGTTTGC